TAAAATTTTTGATGAATATGGGTAAGCATCTTAAGATAGATGTATATGTATTAGAAAAAAAAGTTTCAATAATTTTTCAAAACGTATTGATACGTATTGATACGTATTGATGCCTATTGTTACCTAATAATTGATGCCTATTGATACCTATTGATACCTATTGATATAAATATTTAATATATTCTTTGTTATACATATATGAGAAAAAATACATGGCTAATATACGCACATTACGAGATATTAACTCAAAAGGATATCGACTTGGAAGTACTAGGGAGGTAGAACTTGAAGAAGCTTTACGTGATAGTTGTAAGACTAATTCTGAACTTATTGATGATTTTAAAAACTATCGGAAGGTGCATAAAAAGTTTATTAATAATATCAAACGGGATAAGGTACATTTGCAACGTAATCTAAATCAAACTAGTAAAGATAAAGAAGAACTTACCAAGTATATCTATCAACTTATAGATGAGATTAAACGATTAAACTCAGAATTAGACAATTTATCATCTCAGATTAAGCGATTACAGATTTCCAATGTTGAGTACGAAACTAAGAATATTACTCAATTAAGAAAAATAGAATCTCTCCAGTCTATGATTGAGATATTGGAAGGTAAGTTATCTTCAGCCCAGAACGATGTGATTTCTATTCAAAATGACTCATCGAAAAAAGAATCCGAGATATTATCCCTCAAGTCTAAAATAGCTGAAGTAGAACATGAGCTAGCTTCAAAAGTCAGTGAACTTGAGTGTCTGAAATCGGAGGCTATATCAGCAGAGCTGGCACGGCCAAAACCTGTCGTTGGTGGAGATGTCGAAAAAAATATAATCAAGGATAGTGATCTAAGTAAATATTTTATACGCGGAAAAAATACGCTGTGCGAGGAACAAAGTTCCATGGATCCAATAGAAAAAATTGATGAGATTACTGAACTACCAAAAAATGATACCGCGATTAGTCCTAAGATAAATGAGGAAACTAACATTAGCGAAATTAATGAGAATATTATACCCCAATCTCAAGGCTCGAAGAATCGCCTAACGGCCTACTCTGCAATAGAAATACCGAATATAACTCCTTACCTCGCACAGCCGGAAAATAATAGCGGAGCTAGTGCTAAAGCACATATGTCCTCATTGATTGAATCGAATTCTCAAATCCCGATAGGAGGAATAGAAACAATTCCTGCTTTGGCAAGCACTTTGATGTCACCGCTATCGGCATATATTTTTCTTACTCTGTTAATTATTGCCGTTATGTGGTTTGTGGTATTGAGACGTACATGGAACATAGGTAGGCTCTTCGAGCCATTGCTCCGCAATAAAAAAGCGATTGGCTATGGGATACGTGGATCAGATAATGAATTTATTAATTTTAAAAATTCTTTAAAATAGGTATTATACAAAAATGAATTCTCAAGATAGTATTAGTGAAACTAGCTTTGCTAAATCAAATTGGCAGAAAATTGAAAATGACGTAAAATCAAAGCTCATAAATTTTTTTCAAAGTAACGAAAAATCAATTACTCTAGATATAAATAGTAGTATAGAATATGCATATTACTTATATTATTTGAAAAAAATTATTAATGAGAATTAGTGATATATGTAGAGCTTTGCTCATTTTCTTCGAAAATAGATTGGATAAGCTGATATAATCTCACCTTCATCACTCAATTTCAGATATTTTAGTTAAATATACCTTGGAGTATTACTTGAGAGAAAAAATCGAAAATGTGTCATAAAATACATATAACCACACTGACGACGGTGTTGCATTTTTTGTCGTCACAACAGAAATTTTTTATCCAATCTATAGAAATCATAGTTATGGATTCCCAATCCGTCATACAAAAAAACCGAAAGAAAGAACTATTGCAGAGCAGGCCCGTAGGGGCGAGTTACACTCATGGCTCATCGAGCCTACCGCCTATGAAACTTTATCTTATGGATATGGATGAGGCTACAAAGCATGAATCATCCCGGATTCAGTCACATCCAGCCAGCCCATCATGGCCTTTCAGTATGCTAATCACCGGGAAGAGTGGATCAGGTAAGACTAATATCTTGGCAAATCTTTTTCTTGGTGATAAAGCTGAATATATATATAACGGTAAAAAAGGCGGGTCTAGATATATTGCATGTGATGATTTGATAGTTTGTGGTTACCATCCCGACGAGCCTAAGTG